TCTTTTGGTCTGTTAAATAGATGTGCCACTTTTTACAAGCCATGACTTTCACACTCTAATGTTTCACACCAACCCAGAAAACTGCTGAAATATGATGTATGAGCTCTCTCCTTCATAGGGCTTGAAATCCACACAGGACTTGAGGCGGAACATTTCTAAGGCAGAGAGGATGGCTCCTTTGGCATTGAGCTCTGCAAAAATCAGACAGGACGTGCATAAGAATTATTTAGACACAGAGAAAACCATGCCACTGTGTGAAATCCACAAAGGGTTATTGCAGAAGATTTGGTAGTAAATAGATCCTTTGGAAACTAAAACTGCATAATTAATCCTGGACATAAACATAGCATGCATATTAAATATGACTATAGAATAAGAACACACACAAGTGTATGTGGCTGGCTAAAACTGTTTGCTCTTTTCCTTTTCCCCCATTCCAGCAGAAATTTTGAGCTACCTCAGGAGAATCCTCTGGCAGAGCAGAAACACAAGTGGTTTGTGAGTTGCTCTGGCTTTGTATGCACAGATAAAGTACCTTGGAGAGAAGTAGTGAAAGTTGTGTTCCTTACCCCACACTACAAGGATAGTCCCACTAGCTCAAGGAAGAGAGCGTGGCTGAGGAAGGCTTGGGAGTTCTTGAAGCAGAAGAAGCACATGGGGTATATGAGAGATGACAGGGGAGGTGGTTCCTCTAGACAGCTAGTGCCACACGCTCATGGCCAAGGGAATAGCTTCTCTACCAGCACCGCAGAGCTAGAGGACCCAAGAACCAGGACAAGAGATGCTGACCAGTAGCTTGTGGTGACTATGACCAAAGATCAGATGTCTGTCCTTCCACCTAATGTGCACACACGTTAGCCCTTCATGGCATAACAAGGACAGGTAAGAGGAAGGTGTCACAGATAAAATGAGATTATATTCTGCTCTGAATGCAGATTTTCCTCCCAGCACTTCCCTAAAGATTGAAATCTCCCTTAAAAATTAAATGGAGTGATATGAAATTAAATCATCTTCCTCGCACATTTGATTTTGTGCAATCCCTCAAGGAATTTATAATTATTGGCAGTTTTCCAGGAATTTGTGACAGGTTTTCCTGGTACTTGCTTTCCTCAGTAGCCTACCATAGTGAAGATTCCACAGTGGTGACAGTATATCCAGGTCACTACAGAAATGGCTGTGGGACTGTTTGGTGATAGATGGTTGATGATAAATGTAAGGGGCATTTACAGCCACTCTATTCCATCCCATTGCACCAAAATCATACGTTGGGGGATGGACAAGCTCTTCAATGAATGGTGTTGGGAAAGCCGGACACTCACAAGCAGAAGATGGAAACTCAGCTTTTGCCTCTCACCCTATACTAAAGTCAACTCAAAGTCGATGAAAGACCTATTGTGAGGCCTAGCACTGAAACTTTCAGAAGAAAATATAGGGGAAACCCTGCAACAAATCAGTATAGGTGATGACATTTTTCTGTTAAGACCCTGGAAACAAGGACAACAAAGCAAACAGACAAGTGGAATTATATCAAACTAAAAACCTTTTGCACAGCAAAGGAAACAGTCGGTGTGCAGACACAACATACAGAACCAGAAGATTTTTTGAAATGACTCATCTGATAAAGCATTAATATCCAGAATATATGAGGACGGGGGATATAGCTCAGTGGCACAGTGCCTACCTGGCAAGTGTGAGGTCGTGAGTTCGATTCCCAGTACCAAAACCAAAACCAAAACCAAAACCAAAACACACACAAAAAAACTTACTACAAAATATATGAAGAACTCATAAAACTCCATAACAATTAAAAATGAGCAAATGGTGTGAATACACACTTCTCAGAAGAAGAGATGCAAATGGCCGACAAGCTCCAAAAAGAATACTCAACATCATTAGCCATCAGAAAATGCAAATCATAACAAATAGGTATCACCTTAGCCCAGTTAAAATGGCTACTGTAGAAAAGACAAAACATAAATGCTGGCAAGGATGTGGCAAAAAGGGAACTCTTACACTGTTGAAAATGTAAATTAGTGTAGCTATTATGGAGAACAGTATAGAAGTTTCTCAAAAACACTACCCTAGGAAGCAGCTATTTCACTTCTATATCCAAGGGGCAGGTATCAGCATATCAAAGAGTTTCCTGCACGTCCATATTTATTGCTGATTATTCACAATAACTAAGCTATGGAATCAGCTTAGATGCCTATTAAGAGATAAATGAAAAACTCTTTTTTTTTTTTTTTTGGTTTTTCTCCGGTACTGGGAACCGAACTCACGACCATGCGCTTGCCAGGCAGGCGCTTTTGCCGCTGAGCTAAATCCCCAGCCCAAGAGATAAATGAATAAACAAAATATGGCATATATCTACTCATCTATCTACAGTGGAATATTATTGAGCCATAAAAAGAAATGATATCATATCATTTGCAGGAAAATAAGGAGGACTGTAAGATTATGTCAAGAGAAATACAACAGGCACAAAAAGGCAAGTACCACATATTCTCTGTCACATGCGGGTGCCAGAAAAATGTTTGCCTGATTATAGAATAGAAATTACTAGAGGTGGGAAGCATGGTGGGGATGGAGAGAGGTTGGATCACAAGTACCAAAACACAGCTAGGCAGAAGCGACAGGTTCTAGAGTTGTGCCACACAGTGGGTAACTGTGATTCACGACAACGCATTATGCACTCTATGTTGAACTGGAAAGAGGCGCTTGCTCCAAGCACAGCATAATGACAAGGAGATGGAAAGATCAATGACTCCAACTGGATCTGTACGCACATGGTGAAATACCATACTGGGCTTCGTAAATATGTGCAACTGTTATGTGTGAATCAAAAAAATTTTAAAGTTTAAGAAGATGAAAAGGCTAACTACCTTGGTGTGATTATTACACATTGTCACACTGTATCCCATACTATGTACAATTGAAATAAGAATTCATTTTTAAAATTAAAAAAAGGAAGGCGAATAACCAACAAAGTAATTGTGGACACAGTCAGATAACAACAGCAAGAGTGCTGCAGGGTACCATGTGATTGCAACAGATCCATTCTGCAAGAAATGCTGCAGGAAGTGCTTCCAACAGAAGAGAGGGGACGTTAGCTGGGAATGGAGTCAGCAGGAGGAAGGAAGAGAACTAGGATTTGGGAGTACAAAAGTAAACAAGAAGATGATCATTTTTATTAATTATTCTAAAAAAACAACTAAGGTAAAAAAATGTGACACCATATTGTGAGACTTAGACAGTATATCAACAAAAGTATAATTTGATAACATCACAAAGGGAAGACATAAATGGAATTATGCTATTGTGAAATGCTTGCATTTTATGCAAATGAAAACATATTAAGTCTAAGGAGATTACCCCATACTGCATATGCATATTGTAACACCAAGGTAAAGCCTCGAAGAATAACACAAGGGATTGAGCCAATATCCAATAGAAGAATTAAAATGTTATAACTGATTAAACCAAGTGAGGAAAAGTATGGGGACTTGGGGGAGGGTGTGGTGGAACAAATACAAAACAAATATAGTTTAAGTCACAATAGATCAGTAATTGTAGTAAGTGCAAATAAACACTTTAATTAAATTCAGATAGCTGAATAAAAAGGGGGAGTATGAACATGTGAAATAAACACTTTTCTATTTTACATGTTTCCCTTGCAACAAAAGGGAGAAATTAATATGCTGGAAGTAGTATCCTGGTCCTATATACTGATTTACCTAAACAAACCCTTAAGTACACTTTTTTCAATGTTCTGATGCCAACTTGTTCTTCATGTTTCTCCCGATTTTATTAAAAGTTTAATTCATGCTACCGTCTTTCAATGATCCTTTCATACTCTTTCTCCGGCAGGTTAAGCAGCCCTAGTTTTGATGTATGGGGTGTGATCTAAAATCAAGGTGCATGGTTAAATGTTTAAAATTTATTACCGTAAATGACACTCCCATTGATCCCCCTCAAAAACATACCACCCCCTACTTTGAATACATTTATCCCATCCTTCTCTCCACTTTCAGAAGCAGCTCTGGAAGTCCTCTTTCATGTCTTTACTTCTGCTGTCATGGCTGCCTCGGCATCCTAAATTGATTCTAAAAGTTGATCTTTCATGGTTATTTTGACTTTGAGGAAGAGTCAGAAGCTGCATAGGGCCAGATCTGGTGAAGAAGGTGGATGAGGACAGAGCAGCATGTTTTTACAAGCGTGCCTTTCCATTTGATGGTGCTCAACAGCAGCACTCACCATATTTTTTTTATTGCACTTCATAAAGACACTCATGAAAGGGGACTTTCAGAACTGCTTCAGAAAGTGACAGGAACAATGGGATATATGTGTTCCAGTCATGGGCAGAATATTTTGCGGGAGGTTCATGGCAATGCGTCTTTTACTGTAATAATTTTTTCAACTTAGACATTCACTGTATTTTTTATCAGAACTCATAATGTCATGTCTTTTTTCCTGTGAAATAAATAATCACCAGTCTGAGAAACCCTTTCATATACCAGAGGTTGCTCCCAGTGTGAAGCTAAAGATCAGGAAGAGGGAGAGAGAAGTCAAACCAATGGGTCCTGCGAGAATGATGCTATTACCCAGATTGTCCGCCAGGATGTACGGGATGGGGAACGTCCATCTGGCAGTTGGGTCCCTCAGGCCATTTCTTGATTTCTGTAAAAACAAAAGCAAAGAGGTCATCCTCAAGGTCATCTTGATTTCTCCTTCACTAAACTCTCACACCACAAAGAATATATCAAGCAATTTACACAATTCTGTGGCATTTGTCTGCTTTTTATAAAAGCAATAGAAATTCTGTAGAGAAAAATTGGAAACTTCAGAGAAATTATAAAGAACAAAATAAGGAGAACAAACTAAGGGTCTGTGAGCTACCACAAACACATTGTCCTACTCCCTTTTGTCATATTCTTTGCTTGTTGGGAAAGCAGAGCAAATAAGCCATTGTAGATTCTTTTGTGCTGTTTACTTGTTTTTCCTCTGTGTTTGTCCCTGTCAGCTATAGTGAAAGTCCTTGTGGGCACAGGTTATAGATTAGAATTCTTTCTTCTGCATGCTGTTCCAATCCAGCTGTCCCCCCATTGGTGTATCCAGTTCTCAGGGACATTATTTTGTGCAGGTACTCACCGGCAGAAGGATGTCCCCTTGAAAGAGGTCCAATCCTGCAGCTGCATGTGGATTAAAGAAAGAATAGTTGAATGAACACTACTCAGAGTCATCTTCCACAATACAATTAAGTTTTGCTATAATAAATCTTCCATTTTAATTATGATGTGATAAATCTCTTTGAAACAATGCAAAGATTCCCTCTAATTCACCACATGTGAATGGTTATAAGCACCAAAGATTACCGTGTTGTGTTTTCAATATTGAAACAAGAATGCTTGTCCAAGAATCTGAGAGGTAGGCTACAAAAGACCTGAGTGATCATGGATGCTAAACCTCCTATTTCAAAGGAGGCAATAGGAGTTTGAGACCGGAAGTGATGAGCTGGGGAGACAGGAATTGGTAAGCTAGAGAGACAGGAAGTGATGAGCTGGGGAGACAGGAAGTGATAAGCTAGAGAGACAGGAAGTTATGAGCTGGGTGACAAGAAATGATGAACTGGATGGGAATCTGCGACTACAAGGAAAGTCCATACTCCTGTGCCCCCAGGCTGGGCCTTTGTGCTGTCACACTGTTGCTGGGAAAATTGAGTCAATAGTAGCTAGGAGCTCAGGAGAAAGGAGATTTTATTTAATGCTGGTGGTCCCCAGAGGGGTATCCTCCAAAGTCCGAGTTGCTGATTACAGAGCTATTCTTTTTATAGGGTGATGAGCGGGAGTTACAAAAAACTAAGATAAACATAGCTAAAGGCCATGGTACAATGGGTAACTTGTGGCGACCACAGCTGTAGGTAGCAAAGTTGTTTTTAGCACATTCACAGAAGTTTCAGTTTGAGAACAAATCATATGATCTTTTAGCTGAGTTCAGTGCAGAGAACAGAATGGCTGCCAATGTACTGAACAAAATGGCTGCAGTTAGCTCAGGAATTCTGCTTTAACATTGTCCTGCCTCTGATCCTGGGCAGACGGCTGGCCTTGGTCTCTCCCATGAAAACATGAAGGACCCCAGAACCAAGTCTTTGCCCTGTGACAAGGAGATCAGCAGAACATGATAGAGCCTTCAAGTCTGAATCTCCAAGCTTCTGCTTCTGACACTCAGCAAAGGAAATTCCAAATGCAGGCTTCCCTCGATCCTGGCCTCACACTGTTTCTGAAAAAAGGAATCTTAACCAGGAAGTCTTTGTGGGAAAACTTCCCTGGCTCCAAAGAACATCACTCTCATAACCCTCACTTGATTGGTAGAATCCTCCATGAAGCACAGAGAGCTTCAGAGGGACATTTTCTGTGATGCCCTAACTTATAACTGCTTCACAGGGCAGAAGGGGTCCTATGGGCAAAGCAATGGCCTTTTAAAATTGGGGTCCATGTGCACAAGGGACACCAGGAGGTGCTAGGTACTGACTAAGCTCTTCCTGTCTCTCATCTCCTGATATACATTTTTCCTAGCTTGTTTGACCTGTTCATGTGATAAGAGGACCACAAATACCACAGACAGTGATAACACAGTTGGCTCAGTCAGAAGGACCCACATTGGAGGTGTGAGTCCATTCATCTCCTACCCAGGCTTGTGGGGAGCAAAAGCCTGTGTTTTCCTAGGATGGGAGGGGGCTCTCCCAGAGAATGTAACTAGCTCATTCTGTCCTTAACCGTAGGGCTGGCTCAGCACAGATGGGGTCCTGGGGTCCCGTGTCGTGTAGAAGTATGTGTCCGGTGCAAGTGAGATGCATCTACTCTACCTAGAGCTTCAGGGTCTCCATCTGATTAACACCTAATGTGTCTTCAGCCATGAGAATGGGAGGATACCGCAGGGGACAGGACAAAACTGTAAGAAGATGGCATTCTTAATTAGAAGAGACACATGAACAGACAAATGTGGAATAAGACAGATGGTGAACAAAAAGCATAATGAAAAAGCCATGAAATATGACAAAGGGAGAAGAGTGTTGAGGCAGGGAGGATTGCTGTTATACCCTGGGCAGTCAGGGCAGGCCTCCCAGGGGAGGTGGCCTTAAGCAGAAATCTGGTGGAAGGAGTGGGAGGCAGAGGCAAGAGCAGATAGAAAGGTCCTATGACTTGGAGCAGGTTCATCTGCTGAGCTTGCGCCTGGGGCCTCTGACCCCACAAAGCACTCCTTTCTAATAAGTGTCAAGATGGTGTGAGTGCCCAGGTGGTGACCACACAGGAATGGCCAGTTGTGAAACTGCGTTCAGAATGGCTGGGACGCTCTAGGAAGAAAGAGCAGCATGGGAAAGTAGAGGTCAGAGGAGCAGCCAGGTCAGCTCATGTGGAGTTGGCATCCCCTTCCTCTGCCCAAATGGAGACACTGATTCCACGGCCTGGGTGGGGCTCATAGTGCTAAGGGCACAGGCGATGGAGGCTGAGGACTGCACTTTGAGAGTCCAGGTTGTCACTTGTGCTGTGTGTTGGAAGAGAAGTTACCAGAGGCTGGGAGTGAGAGGATCCAAATGCTATTGGAAGGACAGCTCTGTTCCCATGGCGTGCAGCCATCTTTGGGGTGAACCAGAGCGGGGGGCAGAGATGGGGCCCCTGGACAGACAGGGCAGCTACAAGGTGACCCTGGCCTGGTGGAGCAGTGATAAAATGTGACTATGTGTCTAACAACATCTGCTGACAGATGGCAAGTAAGGTGTGGGAGAGGCAGGAGCTTGGGGCTGCTCTGCAATTCAGAGCCTAAAATCTAGAAGGAAGACAGTTTTGCTTAAATAAAGAAGATGGAGAAGAACAGGCCTGGGAATGGAGGATGGCTACATCAGCATTTTGAGGTTCAGAGAAATGGTAGGAAAAGGTGACAACTCTCTCTGCGTGATTATGTCTCCCATCTGTGATGATAAGAGTTTGCCACGCAGTTCAACCAATGGCTCCTGGTGTCTGGCCTGGAATGGCCTGAAAGAGGTGGCTCCATAGAAAGAGAGACTGTGTCCCCAGCTCACAGTCAGAGGTGGTGATGAGGCCAAGGAGTAAGAAATGCTGAGGTAGAACTGATTTCTACTCCAGAGATAAGGAAGAAAGGAAGAAAGTTCTGATTCTCATCTCAGCCCTGTTTTACTCAACAGTGGGTCTCTGAGTGATAGACACCCGTACTGCCGGACTCTCAGGAGAGAGATTTTGGTACCTGGCTCTGAAGCCTGGGGACCATCCACCTGCTCAACCCTTTGGTTTGGTAACTCAATCCACTCTGTCCGTGTCGCCATCTCCCAGCAATTCCAATTAAACATCAACTAGCTGCCGTCCTTGCGAATGGGACACAGCATACAAACATAACACTTATGTCCTATTCAAATCACACTGAGCTGTTGAGATATGAGTCAGGAGGCTGGAGGTGGCTTCAAGACAAGAGCCTGTGACCTTAGGAAAGTCACTGCAGCCATTCAAAAGTCCCATGCCTTCCTACAGAAGGAAGGCAGCCTTTACCCTGGCACAAGATTTGACAAATTAAGATGCAGACGGGGAAGAAACCTTTCTAAATTAAGGTGTTATGGTCATGAACACCTCTGCTTCCACCCATCCCAAACAAAGACACCAAAATATAGATGCTTCTCTCATTTCAGAAGAAGAACTCAGAGGAAAGAGACCAGACCAGAGACTATCCCAGTAATAGATGAGACCCTGCATTTCTTCAAGAACTATATTCATGAACAAGATGACCAATCAGAAATACAGTCACACTCTTCTCGAAGTCCCATGCCAAACAGCTGTAAGGACATTTGATGGGCTGGTAAGGCAGATGGGGTCTTTTCCCCCACTAAATATAACTACAGGCTTATTCTTTATCATGTCTTTTAGCAAGCAGAATAAACACACATTTTCATTTCCCTTTGTTTTTCAAAATAGAAACTGGGAAAATGAAATTTTCATAATTAAAGAACTTATTAGGTGTCTGTGTTTGTAAATCCCAGAAGGATGCATCAACTCTTCAAGAAAATCTGATCTGTCTTCCTCCTACCACACTGCCATTGATCAGAAACTTTAAATCCTAATGCAGCACCAATAAATATGGCTTCCCACATGATACACAGAGCAGGGCTATGAAGGTTTACACATTTTACCAATCCCATCCCTGGGCTGTAAGTTATTCCAAAACATTAACAATGTAGAATTGAACCCACCTAAGTTGATTTTTGAAATATCCTTCTGTTCACCAAAATCCACATCCTGCCCTGTTAAAAGTGAGAGAGAAATAGTTACGACTGATGCTGAACGAAAGAGACAGAGTTCAGAAACTGTACCCATGCAAATTGATTCTTACCATTTCCATTAGAAAGATGTTTAATCTGCAAGGAAATGAACATAGAAAAAATGGATAATTTATATGAGAATTGGTATATCTAAATATAAGGAGCAGAATTCTACTTACCGATACAGCTCCTATGTGAGCAAAAAGCAAAACAAAGGAGAGAATGCAAGTGGCTCTAGCCCAAACCATCCTTGCAAATGAACTGATTTTAGCATAGACACCTTGTCATAGATACCTATTGGACCTTGCCCTGATTGTCATATTAGAAACTTTGACCCTGTCATATGTGTGTAGTGTTTAAAAGTATAGTCAGAGATGATGTCACTAACCCTTTCATGGGCAGGTACAGGACTACCTTAAATACTCCCATGTCAAACTGGGGAAAATTTGGAAAGTAGCACTGAAGTTATTATATATGTATACACCAGAGGAAACTGTTCAGCTGACAAATAAAACATACCCTCACAAAAGAAATAAAAATAACCGGTAAAATAATGAAAGTGCACTTAAATCTAATAAAAATCAGTTTTGTAGAAATGTTATAAATCAGTTATTAAAGGACATAAAAAGACATATCTTCCTCACCATATTCTCTCCTTTTGTGTGTATGTATGTTTGTATGAAATACTTATGAATTATTCTGATGTGAGTTTATAATTTTAAAGAAAATTCAGCAAATATCCTAACAAGGATTTTGTGGAACTTGCAAAACTGACAGTTTTTGATATTTATGTGAAAAGGCTAAACTTCCAAAATTAAATGAGAAATTTTTGAAAAGGAAGAATATAAAGGATTTTCCCTAACAGAATAATCAGAATTGTTATAAAATTCAACAGAGACAGGCATTTGTGAGAAATAACCAAATACCACCAGGCACATTCTGGTCTCTTAATAATACTATTGGAACACTAGTGTTTTCATAGGAATAATACATTAAATTCTTATACCCCTCATTATTCACAAAAATAAACTCTAGATGGATTAAAGGTTCAGATACACAAACCTAAATTTTGGAGAAGAAAATATTGGAAAATGTTTTTAACCTTGAGATCAGGAAAGATTTCTTAAGCAAGAGGAAATAGGGTTAGAAACTGATAAGAAAAAAAATAAATTTGACTACACCAAATTCAATCTTCTTTATGATAAATACACAACAGAATTAAATACAAATTGCAATATTCATAATACATAAAAGTGTTTAAAAATAAGTATCTTGTGCTCGGTTCAGCAGAACATACACTGAAAATAAGTACCCAGGAAATATAAGAAATTCCTGCAAGACAGTAAGAAAAAAGATAAATATATGACTTAGGACAAAAGTGGGCAAAAATTATGAATAGGAAATTCATGTAGGAGAAAACTGAAGTAGCCAATAAACATAAGAAGACTTTCTTTTTCTTTTTTTTAATAACAAGATTTTCAACCTCACAATCAGAAAGAAATGTAAATTCAAATGACAATGAAATGCCAACTCATGTTCAGACCAGCTTAAAGGAAGAAAGCAGGCAGTACAAAGGGTTAAGAACAAGGAAATAGGCTCCTACCCTGCTGGCGGGACTCATGTGGCCATTTGATGCTATGTAATAAAGTTGAAATATACGTCATTTATAGGCTAGAAACTCCCAATTACATTAGTGGAAAATGCTCATATGTGCAGCACATTTTGGTAGTAGTAAGAAGTGGAAAATGTGTTTATACTGGAAGAAAAATAAAGTATGGGGCATAAGCACAGATAAACGCTTTAACAGCCAGCTCTGAAAATAGTAAGGATTCCTTTGCAGTGTTTGCTGCTAATGGAAATAATCATTTCCTATGGTGTGTAAATGGTCCCTGCTCAATGTTAAGCTATTGGCACTGCGTCACTGGTGTGCTGGGAAGAGATGGATATAATGAACTGTGTGTGCCGGACACAGTGCTACGTGATGTCCCCTGTCTCCTGCTTTTGAGTCTGTGATGTCAGAGCCCGCATTTCCCCCTAACACCCTTCCCAGGGGCCTGCATTTCCCCTTCCCAGCTGAGCAGGGCTCAGTGTTGGGGAGCATTTCAGGGGCAGCACTGCCCATCAGGAGGCCTCTCATGGGGTGGATGCCATGAGCAGAAGAGGTCTAGGGCTGGTGTCCCACAGCCCTTCGTGATGAGGTCAGTGGTGATGGAGAGCTGCCATACCACCTTTCATGCTGGGAGCCACCGATGTTTTCCAGCAGATTCCAAACTCGTTCAACAACGAAGATAACTCGTCAGCAAACACAATCTGTATGTCTTAAAAAATCAGCGAGGAGGACCTGATAAATGTTAGCTTAATAAAAATAATTGGCCATGAGAGTTGGGGAAAAATAGTTTATTGACCTTTATTTCTTCAATATATTATCTTATTTTTCTCAAATTCTGAAGCAGGAAGGAGGAGAGTGACTATTTACTGATTTTGGAGGCCAGGAAGTAGGGGTTGGTTTGTTTTTCTAAAGAAAAACAGTGATGCTCTTGCTTTGGTAAATATGCTTTATTAAATCGCAGGTGTTCAGACTTCGAGCAGGTTAAGAGTGGGGCTATCTGGTTCCTTCCAACTTCACCTGCTTCCTGCCAGTTATGCTTTTTGTCATTTGCTTCCTTTCTGGACCCATCCAATCCACACACCATGTGGATGGCCTGAGATCTCACCTCTACCGTGGGCTCATGGGTAAAATTAGTAGTAATTCCTACTTCGCAGGGCTCGTGGAAAGATTCAAGACAATCTGTGCAAGCCACAGTTTCCAGAAACACAGGGAAGCGCTCTGGGACAGGCTCCTGGGAGAACAGGAGCAGGACCGTGGCTCAGCGCCCTCCTTGCTCCATGGACCCAGTGATGACAGTGCAGGTCTCCAGCAGCCACACTGGCCCTGACATTTCCTTTATGGTCTTGACTGCAGTGTTAATGAGTTACCTATTACTTGCAATTCCAGGCACTTCATTACCCAGGATGTCTAGGAGAGAGGCTACAGCCATAAGTTCTTGGCTAGAAAGTTTATGGTTTTGCAGTTAAAAAGTAAACTGTGTCCTGCAGCACAAGGTCCACATTCGTTTTCCACCACAGGCCCCCGTGCCTAGCACATAGCAGGCAGTTAGTCCTCATACTGGGTAAACAATTTTTCTGTGCAGGGGCTAGAGAGATTGGCACACTGGACTCAGGGAGAATGTTTTACAAGCTCATCGGCTGGGAAAGTGGGGGGAAGCTAGAGGAGGAAGATTTGGCTCTTGAAAGTGGCCAGTGTCCCCATCCCATAAAAGTCGAGGTCTCTCTCAAGCTAACCCTGGAGGCTTGAGAGTCCACTCCTCCCATTTCTCCTGAAGACGTCCTTTTCTCCCCTCTTCCTCCTCTTCCCAAGCTCTTGGGAGACAGTCCCTTCACACAAAGCCCTGCCCTCAAATGCTGTCCCCTGACTTCTTACACAAGAGGCCTCACAGTTCATCCCGAGTGACCCTTGTACCTAAAGTTCTCAAAAGCAAGTAGAACAAGAGCCAGCAAACATTTTTATGAGGGGTCCAAGAGAATGGATGTCAAGCTGAGAGGCTGTGTGATCACTGGTGTGGCTGTTTAACTCTCCTGAGTGGCATTGACAGTGACAGAAAGGAGGAGCTTGTCTGTGTCCAATAGAACTTTATTTACAAACAGCAAAGGCTCACAGCTTCCTGACCACTGGTTTTTAGAGAACTGACCCCTTACATGGTAAAGACAGACAGTGGTGAGTCACAGAGGAAGCAAAAGCAGCATCCAGTGTGTACCTAGTACTCACTGCAGGCCAGGCACCATTCTAAGGACTTGACACATAGTTACTCATTTAATTCTCCCAATAGTCCTGTAAGCTGGGCACTGCTATTGTCCCTACTTTACAGACTAAGACACTGAGACACAGAAACTTTCTCAAGAACACATAGACCCCAGCCAGTGCTCTAACCTGCTACTAATTTGCCAGTATGTCAATGTGGATTAGTTACCCCAAGAATGCCCCTGTCAGGAGGCCCAGCTGGACATGGCATGTGGAGAAAAGATCAAACACTTGGGCTTCATGGGGTGAAGGGGAGATATGTCTGGGTTGGGCTTTTGGTGGAATCATCATGATTCTTAGGAGAACTGGGTTCTACAGCATGGAAGTCAGGCGCGAGGAAGCAGACTGACCTTGCAAAAGGGTCACTTCATCGTTACCTGGAAAGAACTTCCTGGTCCTGTGAGGATCTGAGACCCTCACCACTTTGAAGGAGATAGTGTTGGTCACCCAGTAGGGCTGTGCCATACACAGATGCGATGTCTCTGAGAGGTGACACTGGGCAAAGAGGGGGTGGGGCTGTTTGGAGATTTTGTGTGTGTGTGTGTGTGTGTGTCCGAGAAAAGTCATTTGGTTTTGAGGTCTTTTAAATAGAAACAAGATGACAGCAAAGCCACATACATAACTTGATCCAGAGAGCAAGGGGATGAGCTTTTAGAGAACAAACAGGACTTGTAATCCCACTTTCCTTTGGAAACTACAGAATTGTTTGGGGCACAGCTGATGCTTTGGTGCAAGTGACCAACAGCTACACTCATGGCCAGCTGTACAGTCTGCCACATCGACTGTGGTCTGATTGAGGTGACAAGGAGAAGGTAACAGAGCCCCTGGGGTGTTGGATTATGGGACATTCCTATGGTAACTGATTAGATTTGATGGACTGGTAAATTAGTAGTGGGTCCATTGATCTTCATGCACTGCATCAAATTTTTTCATTTAAGTTCATCTTCTAGTTAGTGAGGGCAGAAAGGGGAAGACTACAGTGGCAGCTCTCTCTAGAGTGATGTGACAAGTCACCTACCCATGAAGAAAGTGTGCAGACATGCAAGGAGGACCATCAGTGGCTAGTGGCCATGCAGGTGGGCACTGGGCTAGGTCACTCAACAAAGCAGGAAAGGAAGAAAGC